AGGACATAGGAAAGACAGATTTCATTGGGTTAAACTCCACCAGAAATTTTGCCCAAGTTTCTGGTTGTCCCCAAAGCCTGTAGCCCAGTTTTTAATACCAAAATAAACATTTTGGGTGTGCTGCATAGGCACAGATAAGTTATTATGGCACATGTACCTCTTTTTAAGATTAATCCCCACCCCAAACAGCAAGATAAAGACAGAAAAGACTTTACATATGTGGAATTTTAGATTAAAATGACAGGTCCTTGGTAATAGATTGGTTAGAGTGGCAAAACAAAATGAAACAAATTATCATTACCATCTTCATTTAACACCGAATATGTGGCAAGCAATGTTCTAGGATCTTTGTGTATGTGATTTCCTTTAACTATCTCATGAATTCTATGAAGTCGTCCTGACTGTTTCCATGCAGATGAAAGATCTGAGACTAAGGCATAAAATGACATGCCTATGGCCATAAGACTCATCAATGGAAGGATGGAATTCAAATATCTTTCTGACTTTGAGGTCTCATTCTTGACCATTATATTCTAATGTGTTCTGTCTTTATAATAAGCCTATTTATACAGATGAGAAAACTGAGGTTCAGGATTCAGTAACTGGTCAAGAGTTACTCTACTAAGGAGTGACCCACTCAAATTAAATCAGGGTCAATGAAGCCTCCAAATCACGCAATGGACACTGTGCCACTAATAATTGTGGTTAAGATACTTATATGAAGCCACTGTCCTTTACTAAGTTTATCTCAAAATTATTTACTTGAATAAAAAGAGAAGAAAATAAAACAATAAAACAGGCAAAACCATATGCCTCATTCCTACTGTAATCCAAAAAAACGTAGCTCTGGTTGGAAGTATAAAAAAAGTGAGCCCTGCATTATTTTAGGTACATCCAGTAACCTCCATATACCTCCTCCCTGTGGACTTACAGCAGCATATGGCTGTTCTTCTCGCAATTCAGACTCTGCTGTTTACTCTGAACTTCTAGGTTACAATATGTTTTATAATAGCTAATAAGGACCACCGGCCCTCTTGAGAGACTCAGCCTAACAAAACGGAAAGACCTAATTGTTCAAATTCACTCTAAGGTAGACAATACACCCTTCATGCATGGACTGCGATGACTGAATAGAAAACCGAAATCAAACTAAGCAATTATACTAACTGATGGTAATCGCTAAATTAAGAACATATGTTAACTCCATAATAAAGAAAAAGAAACAATAATATTGGGAACACTAAAGATAATGCTTTTGAGGAAATAAAACACCTCATAATTTTCCAGGAAAAAAAGACTTCCTCGTTTTAAAAATTCTTTTACTCCACTAAAGTATATTCAGGGCAAATTTGTCACACTCATATATGCTTAGTCGTATACTCTTTGTGTACAAAATTGTCCTATAGTTGAGTTCAGCCAGAAAAACTGGCTTTTTGAAAATATGCAGAATTCAATCCAGTAACAGGCTGGTATGATAAATGCTTACCACGGAGAGTGTAAAATCTATTGTGAAATCTGGTTTAATAGGTTAAGGAGAGATGGAGTACATGGGGGAGAGTATCCTCCCCTGTCCCTCAGCACAACCCTCATCAGCAGCCAGATTAGGAACCTGTTTCTGGGCAGTTGCTGCAAAGCCACGCACACACCTTGCTCAGGGTGCCTGGTACCTGTACTGTTGGTTGAGTGTGGCTCTATCCTGCTAGTCTGTGAGTGCCCTGAGAACCACATACTCAGTCTTGTCTCAAAACTTAGCACGGAGGGATCCCTGGGTGGCTCAGTGGTTGAGCTTCTGCCTTTGGCTCAGGGCATGATCCCAGGGTCCTGGGATTGAGTCCCACATCAGGCTCCCCTCAAGGAGCCTGCCTCTCCCTCTGCCAGTGTCTCTGCCTCTCTCTCTGTGTGTGTCTTTCATGAATGAATAAATAAAATCTTTAGAAAAAAAAAAAGAACAGAATGAATTTATCTAATCCATTAAAAAAATAACTTCCTAGCCACAATAGCTAGCCATATGCTACCACACAAAAAGGACATTTGTATTTATCTTACATAAAGGTTACTTTTTAAGTGTAGATGGATTGGCTAAAGTATTAAGGCCAGTATTAAAGATGGGCAAAAATAGTAGACAATGGAGACAAATAGCATTTTAATGAAGACCCCTCAGAACTTTCTAAAGCAAATCCAAGTGCCTCTTCAATAAGCAGTGCTCTACTCACTACAGTGATTATTAGATCTCCCACTGGCCACATAGAATCATGAGATACTGGATTAATTATAGGTAATATTGATGGATTTCATGTGTTCCAAGCCCTGGACTAAATGTTTTTTGTATTCTTTCATTTAATTCTTATTGCAACCATATAAGATAGGTGCTACTAATATTTCCATTTTCCAGATGATAGAACCAAAGCAAAGCATTTGTTCCGTGCCTTGACTACTATCTAAACAGAACTTTAATAAATTGGTCACTTTCCAACTACTCTGTACTCCTTCAAACAGGTCACCTTAAAACAGGTCACTGATCGAAGGAGAAACAATTTGTCCTGCTGAACTCCAGAAGTCAATCCTTGACATATAATCTCTCCCCCCAGCCTAATTCACTTACTTTTTTGCTGAGAGATACATTCTCTCTGTTTCGGTAAAGCTGGCACTGCTATTTAGTTATAAATAGTCATAACATGCATGAGAAATAATTCTTACAAATTGTTTTAATATATTTTATGAACAATAACACAATAATAAACATAAAACTTTCATGCACTGTTAAATGTACATAAAAGAGCAACTTGAGATTCAATACGGAGTTCTATAATAAATATATCATGCACATACAGAGATATGTATGTATATGTACTTGCATGTATAAATAGGTATCTTATATATATTATATATAAGATATTATATATTATATATAAGATATATATATCTTATATATTATTGCACATGTTTTTTTAACCATGAACTTTGTTATCATCCCTAATAATAAGAACATAATTAGCAGTTTGGCATTCATAAACATCAGATAAAAAGTAGCTTCCCTATTTTAACCCTTATCAAATTTTCTTTGCCACATCTAATTATTTTATTTCACATAGGTCCACTTTCAAAAAGGCTTTTGCCAAAAATCTATTGATTTTCAGATTGGCATTAAAAACCTATAGAATTATCAAAGCAATGCTATGATAAATGTTGCAGAACAATAGATAAGGTCTCCTCAGGCTGCTACATGTAGTAAACTGTAGATATGTAATCTTACAAAGCACAATAGTAGTTGGAAATACAAGCTGTCTTTGTGCATTATTGAATGCAGAAGTGTGATAATTATCAGGAAGTCATTTCAGAGACAGTAGATCATCAATATCCCAGTTTTATTATTTTTTATCATCTGCTTCCTTTTTAAAAACTTTGGTGGTTGGTGCTGCATAAGCATACTACTATATTTGGAGATACAGAAAGTCAAAATGTATTAAAAATACCAAACCTATGTCTTTTGAGTGGGTTCAAACACAAGAAAGCACATGTGCATGTGTTATACACACACAGACAAGAATGATCTCCACCCTTCTGTATGTCGTCGTGAGCTTTTACCTACTGGCTAGGATAATGTATGGCTAGGAAATGAACTTGACTATTCATTTAGGAAATAAACTCAATTCTCATAGAGTTGTGATGGCTTTGAAAATCAAGAAGAGGAGAAATACTTAAATTATAGAAAAGAATGAAATACACATTAGAATCATACAACAGTAGATGAATATGTTTCGAGTTTATTTGAAGCATTTAAAAGCACCTTCCTGCTTACAGAGGAAACACTGCTGTTACAGTGAGTGATTGATCCTAGGCCCTTCACTTCCTATAAATAGTCCTATTTTACAGTTGTCGAAGATGTGTTCATGAATGAACTCCAATCCTTAGCTACGACTCTACGGCACACTCCTTATTTCTCTATACTGGAAGAAGCCCTTGTGCACTGATACCCCACCACAGGTTATGAAAAGGTGAAATAATTCCTTATTTAGGGATAAGCAGATGCTATGCCAACCACCCTTATACCCTGTTCCCTTTCTGGGCCTCTCTTATCCCTCAAGTTCAGGATCAGCTTCCTGCTCCAGAGCCCCTTATCATTGGTGGGTGCCAGTACCACATAGCTCTCTGCAATGTCTCCACACTTTTCCTAAGAGAGCCTCTCTAGAGGGCTGCTGCCAGCCAGACACATTTGATGAAGCTCCTCCACCCTGCAGCCATCCTGCATGCCACCCCCACCAGGTCCTCATAAGACCTGGTAGGAGGAGACAAAGCCCTCTGTGTTGGTGACACCAGGGCAAGCAAATGCCCAGACACCTTTGGCATCACCCCCAGGGCCTGGGACTCCACTTAGGCTAGGCTTTCCAAGTTTTCTTGACATGGCCACTTCTAGGAACTGCAAAATCTGTGGGTCTTGGGCCTTGTTGACACCCCACATGTGTGGGGACAGCAGGCAGCCTGAAAGGCTGTTAAATGATCTGAACATCACTTTTGGGTACATTAACCATCTCTGGTATTGTGATTCAAAGAGGTAATGTAATATAAAGCATAATTCACTTTCATCAATCATAAGATCTCAACTTAGGATATGGCAAAGGTGATATATGCTTATTTTTAAGCTTAAATTAGTCATTCATGGCACACTCTGTCATTCCTCCTCCACAACACACACACACGTATACACACAGAGTGTACCAACACTTAGCCAATGAGTCTTTCAGAAAAGGGAAAAATTTCCCTAAATAGAGTACAGTCACTTAAAAGGAAATGAGGTCTTTCATTAAACCCCTCCAGATAGATTTCTTTATAGATATTCAAGATTTTCCATAACATTTTAAAGTTGAAGAAGGAATAAAATTATATATTTTCTAAAAACTACAAGACAATCAATTCTAACAAATCTTGTATTATAAACATAAAAATAAAGTGTCCCTTCTTGAGAACTACATACATTAAGGTAAATTTATATTGATACTTACTTTTAGATGAAGCTGATTGGTCCAGTGCCCGATGATTTTATATTCTGCACTTTTGTTGGTTATTTGATACTGAAAGATATCATAACGTCCAGGAGCATCTCCATTTTCATTAAAAGTGACAGGTGTCCCAGCACTACCTATAAATGTTTAGAAAACAATGTTAATAAAGTTTTAGTACGGTAGCCCACTGAGCTTATTTTTCTGTAAGAAAGAATGGTAGATAAAAATATATTGCGTGTAGTAAGAGATATGAAGATTGCAATCCATACAAGGTCATTCTCGATAGCATAATAGCTTCTAGAAGAAAAGAAATCCAGACATACATATAGGAAGAAGACATGCTTTATTATGCACATTAAAAAGTAAATGGTGAGTATCCAAGTTAGGCAATGTACATAACAGTTAAATAAATAGAAGTTGATAGGCTGAATATTCCATTCTGGCTACAGAGAGTGACAGTCAATAGAGATGAGTGTAAATGTCTTGAAGCATAATAAGAACTACAAACAGCAACCAAAATCTGGCAGGAGAACATCCTAGCCAAATTCCCTTGAGCTTTGCTTTATTCGGACTTGAACTCCACTCTGAAGCAGTTCCCTATTCAAACTCTCTTCTCAGCCCCTGCTTCTGTCATCTCTGCCTGAGAGTGCAACAATGTAGACCACTGTTGGGAACCTCCCAGGGGGTGAGACAGTGATCACAGAGAAGTCCCAACTCTGCTCAGATCATAAAAGTTCCTCCAGGTCACTGGGGAGGGGCAGCAGGATGCAAGAAATGTAGCATTTTCTGAACTCTCATTTCTCTAAGAAACTTTCTACTTTTCTCTTTTCTCGTCATAGCTTCTGCTCACTTTTACTTGCCCTCTTATTAACTGTTCCAGAATGACAGGTTGTAAAGGTACAAGGGGATGGCTACTCCCATGCTTCCTTGTTCTGTGGGGCCTCACTAAGGGAAGAGACCTTTCTGTTCTCCAAAAGCCCTTAGCTTCTCCCCGTTCCCCCACTTAGTCTTGCTGGATGACTTTGCTATCTCCACAAATTCACCTGACATCAATCCCTTTCTGTTGTGCCCATCTTCTCTCTGCAGGCCCCGTCCCCTGAATTTCTACAAGTAGAAATTTAAAATATCCTTTGTATGAATCTGGCCAACCCTGAAAAATGTAATTGAGTTGGCCTTTTGTCCGGAAAAAAATTTAAGTGACAAATGTCTCAATATAGCCATCGCTTGATTATGATCTACTCACAACACAGGTAAGAATATAAATATAAACAAATAAATCAATCTCTTAGATTTAGTTATTTCACAAATTTTGAAGTATATTAATTTTTAAAAGCTTTTTAATTGATGAGCACTAGTGGAGAAATGGAAACAAACAATGTGGGGCTGTGAGGTAACTTACACTTGTCAGGTATTGCTCTCAGAGTCTATATACCTCCTTGAATATTTTCTGTTCAATAAGAAATATGTTGGAAAAAGCTGTATTTTTATCACTAAGCATATTGAGCACTTCAACATGTTTTTGTAGGAAAAAATGATATATCCAATGAAGGTTTTATTTGCAAATGTTTGGCTCTGTTGAACATTGTTCTGGGGAAGAGCATGGGCTTGGGATTCAGGGACTGAGTTTGATTTCTGGCTCTGCCAATTACCTGCATGATCTGGGCAAGTCACCCTCACTAAATCTGTTTTCTCAACTGTCAAGCATGCATAATATCTGCAACCTCCCTGGGCTATTCCAAGCGTTACATGAGATGATGTAGGTAAAGCACTTAATGCATGGCTGGCACATGATAGGTGTGCAATAAATGGAAGCCATCGTTGTTATTATCTGTTCCCTTGCCTACACTTCTGCTCCTATGATCTACATTATCTTATTTCCACAATGCAAAAAGCAACACAAGAATAATTCATTTGCCTTTATGAGAAAATATTATAAATATTGTAAGTGTAAGCCACTCTGTTTATTGTCATGTTTATTACTTTCCTTCTTCCCTCTTGCTACAAAACTTTATCCATTTTCTTTCTCATAATGACCTGCACTACTGGGCAAGCAGGAAAAAAAAATGAGAAAGCTAAAAATGAAATCATTTGATTTAGCAAACTTTGGCACCCTTAAAAGAATGAATATATAGGACTTAAGTCATTGACCAAAATGCCACAGGAAATAGCAACTTTCAATAGAATCTCAATTATTCATGCTCACCTTTTCCTTTTCTAATTTATTTTATCAAGTATTTATTACAATCAATAAATGGAACTTTATCTTTGGATTAGAATATTATAGTTTAATTATTTAGGGATCAGTCAGATTACTGGTACATGTATCAGTTAGCCTTTGTTCACTGGAGACTTGAGCTTCTGACTGTATTCTCCATCCCCATTCCTGTTATCATTCCTGGTGGCCTCATCATCCACCTGGATGACTCAACATCCTGGTCTCTGTGTTGGCTGACTTCCTCACTTCCCATTATCATCCCTCTCATGCATCTCACCACCCACCATGATCACACTCGAAAAGCTGTCGTTTTCAGGAACTACATCATCTCCCAAATTTTACTCTCTGATTACCACCCTCCACCCTCACTGCAACAATTCTATGATCCCCTAAATCTACTGACTCATTCATTGCTCTCAGTTGGTCTTTATACTTCACCTCCATGATAGTTTGTTTACCTTCCTGTTCTTGCACTGGTTATATGGTCTTCTTCCAACCAACTTTATTTCTCTGCCAGATCACAATCCATGTTTGAACTCAATTGTATATCTCCTTTGCCTATATTCAAGCAGCTGAATGTTGTTTGAGATAATCCTAAAACTTTAATATCTGGAAGGGCCAGGCCTAGACTGAGGCAGGTGAGGTAACTCAGGCATGACTGGGAGAGTGGGTGCCTCCCTACATTCTGCACATTAGGCTCCTCAGTTAGTTCATCTGTCCCAACCTGATGTCTGGTCTTACTTTAAATTCATGACCTCCGATTTCAAGGGTGTGTTCAACATTGCTCTGGAATCTTCCACACTTTCCCAACTAGTCTACCTCCCTGCTCTGGATGACTGACTGTTTCAGGCCTCACATATCCAATACCTTCCTGCCAACCCACCATCACTTCAGCTTGTCTCATCCTTTCTCACTGAGAAAAAGCAGCAAGAGACAAACCTCCCTCATCTCTCCACCACAAGCCCTGCAAGATCCCTACATGTGCACTCATATTAATCTCTTCCCTCCTGATGAGGCGCACATCCACACTCATCCTTCCGGGTTCAGGCATACTCCTCCCCTGGTGCAAGGACCCCCATGCCCTCACTCACTTCCCAGGCACCTTCAGGTTCTTTTTTTTTTTTAAGATTTTATTTATTTATTTATGAGACAGAGAGAGAGAGGTAGAGACACAGGCAGAGGGAGAAGTAGGCTCCATGCAGGGAGCGCGATGTGGGACTCTATCCCAGGTCTCCAGGATCACGCCCTGGGCCCAAGGCGAGGCTAAACCACTGACCCACCTGGGCTGCTCCAGGTTCTCAGTTCTCTTTTCTTCCTTGGACATCAACAATTTTTAGACTGTCCATATTATTCCCTTCAGTTGACAAATGAGTTCTAATAGCTCTCATCTTAAAAAAAAAAAAAGGCAAGCAAACAAATCCCATTACTGACTCTATTGCCTCATTTATCCACTCTCCTGTTTTACTAACAGGACTTTTTATGTGAGCTGTCCATACGCTCTCTATTGTCTTATTTCCCCCTAACTCTTCATACCATTTTAATTTGAAATTTAACCTCATATCTCCACCAATGAGTTTCAAATGTATACATCTAGCCCTGAATGCAGACTTGTCCAACTACTTGTACCTCCATTTGGTTGTTTGATAATCATCTTAAACTTAATGCATCTAGATATGACGTTTGATTCTTTTCATTTCCAAATATGTTCTTCGTAGTCTTCCCTTTTTAGTAGTCAGCTAACAACAATCCATTCACTCAATCAAATCAAAACTAAGTTAAAACCCCATATCTAACTGTAAAATGAGAAAAAATGAATGTAAGCTCTGGGCTTTAATTAATAACAATGTGACATTATTGGTTTATTAATTATAGTAAATGTACTGAACTAATTCAAAATGTTAATAATTGGAGAAACTGTGTATTGAGTGGGGGTGAAATATGAAAAATATCTGTACTATCTTCCCAGTATTTCTGGAACTCTAAAGATGTTCTTTAAAATTTAAAGATTTATTTATTTATTTGAGAGAAACAGCATGAGCAGGGGATGGGCAGAGGGAGAGAGAACCTCAAGCAGACTCCACACTGACCATGGAGCCTAACACCAGGCTTGATCTCATGACCCTGAGATCAGGATCTGAGCCAAAGCCAAGAGTTGGATGCTTAACTGCTTATACTACCCAGGTGCCCCTAAAGCTGTTCTTTAAAGAAGTTTAAAATAAACTAAAAGAAAAATGATGAAATGATCTTAAGCAATACATTCTGTGCAACCCAATATATGCAAAATAGTATGACATCAAAATGTAACCGATATAAAGAATATTAATGAGGTATTTTACATGTTTTACATTCCAAATCCTCAAAACCCTGTGTACTACCTACAGATCATTCCAATTCAGACTAGTATTTCAAGTGCTCGATAGCAATTCATATCAAACTGCATAGGTCTAAAAGACAAATTATTTCAGCAGTCATTGCTCTAACCCTCCATGCATTGAAGAAGTCCACTGCTGAATCCTTTGGATCTCCTTTTCAATTTCAACTGGGCTGAATGCTTCTGGCCTCCACTTCAAGTAAACTGAACCCCCTTTCACTAGTTTCTCCCCTAAAGAAGTGTGGATCCACCAAAGTCTGACCCAGGGCTCAGTGGATACCAAATCCAGAGACGAGATCCTAAAATAAAATCCCAAATGCTGGGTAGCCCCGGTGGCGCAGCGGTTTGGCGCCGCCTGCAGCCTGGGGTGTGATCCTGGAGACCCGGGATCGAGTCCCACATCGGGCTCCCTGCATGGAGCCTGCTTCTCCCTCTGCCTGTGTCTCTGCCTCTCTCTCTCTCTGTGTGTCTATGGATAAGTAAATAAAATCTTAAAAAAAAAAAATCCCAAATGCTCTGGTAGTAAAAACAAGCAAAAGCCTACATCGAAG